GGGCATCTTCAATGTTTTCTAATGCTTTTTATGAAGCACAAAGTAAAGAAACTTGTTGTACATAATATGTTTATTGTAAGGCAAATCAGATAATATAGATCGCAGAAGGAGAAATCACTCTAAATCCAATCATTGACAAATAACCAGCCACTAATGCTAAATACAGCTTCTGTCTCCAACACCATATCCACATGTAAATCAGAGGAGAGGGGGAGGTAGGGTTAGTAGAGACATTCATTCAGATTTAGAAAAATGTAACTTTGTAAAAGTGGAATTATACCATCAGTGGTATATTTAAACGCAATAATGAGTTCAGTATTTTTTTTTTCCTGCCAGCCTATGGTAGAATATAAACAACTTGCAGGCCACTAATTTCAGACTTCTCCCTCTAAAGATTATGTTAAAAGCTACAATGTCGAGTTTGCTCCTTTTAAAACTACAATTTCTTTACCTTCAGGTTTACCTACCAATTACCTGAATGAACCATTGAAACAAGTAGATTAGATTCCAGTTAGAATGTTCCTTTATTTATTAAAAAATAATTTTCATGAAGTAGGCAGTTAATTCAGTGCTAAATGAGTTTGCATAAAGAACTTTACGTTTTATGGCTCTGTGCATGTCAAATGAGTAGCACAGTGAAGACCATAACAATACGGTCTTGATTCTTCTGTTTCTGTTTTTGTTTCCATTCTCAATGAAACAAATGCCATTGCTATACAAGGCTGTCTTAAGCACCTCCAAAAATTGCCCATGGTTAGTTAAATGAACTCAACAGCCATGAGAGACAGGAAGAACATCTGGGTTAGAAATTATAGAAACTGATAGCAGAATAGCTACACTGCAGTTACAGTCATTTGCCCTCTATATTTTTGGTGTATGTCCTTTGTCTGTGTACAGCTGCGCATTTCTAGGCATTTTTGAGTAGTACGGACTTGTAGAATTTATAGCTGCCCTCTGCTCTGTCTGCTTTCAGTAATGGTTTCCTAAATGGATTGGCAACTAGGCATATCACAGGAGTGTTTTGCTTTATTTTCTATCATTTTCTATCATATTAGCAATAATTTACTTTCCAACAGAAAAATAAAAATCTCTGCGTCCAGAGTGACCCCGGGCAACCCTTTAAATACCATTACTCCTATAAAAGAACAAGATGTGATTTGAATAATTCAGTGTTTTGAAAATGTCGCAGTTTTGAGACTTCTATTTTATGTGTTTTCTGAATAGCTGGCCAAGCACCTCGCTGGAATTTAACAATGTGTGTGTCTCCATTCCTAGGTAAATAATAAATTGTTTTCTTCCCTGAATAAAAAATTACCATGACAACTTGGCAAGCTTGAGCTATAGACGTCAAATACTGAGTTCTAGCCTAGCTTTTCAGTATTTTCTGAGATGTGACACAGCTTTTGGCAGCTGTGATTTAAGTTTAGAAATTTAAGTTATATTTTCACATAGCCATATTAGCTGTGTACATTGTGATTAAATAAAATCTTGTTTATTTTGCAGATAACTCACTACTTTATAGAACTTCAATATTATTACTTAACTAATTACAGTGATTTGGGGATTAAGGGACATGTGTAAGTCATTTTATAACTGTTGATTTTAATAATTATACTGAATTTTGCAGAATTTTGAATTTGCTGAATTAGTAATTTAGGAAAATTGGTCCCCATCATAGACTGTTACATGATTTCCCTAAAGATGATATCTTTCCCCCAAATATTACTGAGCTCTTCATAAGAGTTCTAGAAACAGTGATAAAAATTTGTGATTTTTATTAGAACTCGTTGAGTATTTTTTAAAGCCATCCTTTCATAATTCTCAATTTAAAAATGCAGTCATCATTAACTGTTATTTAAACCTGCGGGTTTCTGGCAAACCATGCAAGCTTACATTTCTGTGTGGTTACCTGAAATATTAGAATAACAAAAATGAATGAGAGATATGTGTTATCCAGACCTGTAAATCTGTTGAAGTTGCCGCCTTCAGTGTTGCTTAAATTTGCTTTCGGAATAAGCTTGTTTTCAGTCAGCATTCTTTCAGATGATGGTAGTCCGAGTTAAGGCAATGTAACAACCGAAGACTGAGTATAGGTAAAGACATAGACAAACGTGATCAGAGCTGGCTCTTTTTTTTTTTTCCCCATTGCCTGTAGTTTAGCCCTCGTGTGTGTTTCCTCATGATGGTAAAATGGTGCAGTATTTGCTGGTGTCATCTGGCTGGCCCACAGCCCAAACGTACCTGGCAGGTAATAAAGGATACAGTTGAGACGAGCTATCAAGGAAGGATCAAACCCAGCAGCAGTGCACTGGACAGGAAAATCACCGCGAAGTACTTGGAATATCAGGGGGAGGCAGGCTCGACTAGTTAATCTCCTGAGGTCCGGAGATAAGAGATTGAAAGAGGATGCTGCAGTGGGGGCCAGGCGGGGAAATCTCGAAAGCGCTCAGAGTGTCCAGGGGTGACCAGAGGGATTGCAGCACAGCACAGTGCTCTGTCCTGCACCCGGCTGCCCCAGGGACTGGGCTTTATAGAATAAGCTACATAGCAGTAACATCGTGAGCTTGTTTTGTCCCATTGTGACTGCGAGTCCAAGAAATAGCTGACATAGCTATGGTCACCGAGGCGTTTTCTACAGATAACACTAGTCTGCCTGGGGTCTACTGTCCTTCGGAAAATACTCATCAGGAAAATCCAGTCCCTGTTTGCCTAGAGTGCCCTTTTGATGTGGCAAGAGTCCTGGGAACACAAAAGGAGCATCTCAGGGACTTTGGGCTGAATGCCTGATTTTCCTCAGCGATGGTATCCAAGCATTTACCCTTCAGAATAAGAATCAGGGAAATTACCTCCCACCAGAACTCCTGAATGTCTCCCAACTGGGTCTTGCTTAGGCTGTGAGCTCATACATGTCCGCCAGCCATGGCGGGTGGCAGCATGACGTGGGCACAGTGCCTTGGGCCCAGTGACGAAGTCCAGTTCCATGCTGGAGGACTGAACACACAGTAGGACATACACCCCCCCATGCTTTTGTGCTCATGGAGCCAAATGATCGGCATCTCGTGGTTCCCAGGCGAGCTTGGAAACCACGAAGATGCTGGTCTTCCTCGTGCTGTAAGACATTGTATTCCTGTTTCTGTGATTCCAGCCCCTTTTTCTTCTTTCTTGGCAGAACTTTGCTTTCTTTTCTTGTGTGCATTTGCATAATTTGTCTGAAATTGAATTATAATCTTTGTTAAAGAAATATAAAGCCCATTTACTGTTAACATTTGATGGCTGTTCTCATCATTCACACTTTGAGTTATATTGTTTCTTTTAGTCATGAGGCAGAAATCCCTCTTTTTTTTTTTTTTTTTTT